TGGTATTCCGCAAAAAAGTGAAGACCTGGCTGTTTGAGCAGGCGTTCGAATAATTAGTGCAATGATTGGTTATTGAACACTGGAATGGAACAATGAATGACGAATCTGGAACATGTTTTTGATGACGAGACGACAGTGAATGGGTGTTGTAGTAGCTGTTTATTAATTGTGTAATGTGTTAGGTTGTTAACTGTTTTTATACTGTAGCACTGAATTTTTGCTGTTCGTATTTGTTGTGAACCGCTGTGAGTCGCCTTCGGGCTGAGAACAGCGGTATATAAGTAAGGTAAAATAAATAAATAAATAAATAAATAATGGGAGTCTTTCTCCGTGTAAGATAATGAGAGTTGTAGCCTTGCAAGATAATGAGAGTTGTAGTTTTGCAAGATAATGGGAGTTGTAGCCTTGCAAGATAATGGGACTTGTAGTCTTGCATGAGAATGGGAGTTTTTCTCCGTGTAAGATAATGGGAGTTGTAGCCTTGGAAGACAATGTGAGTTGTAGCCTTGCAAGATAATGAGAGTTGGAGTTTTGCAAGATAATGAGAGTTGTAGTTTTGCAAGATAATGAGAGTTGTAGTTTTGCAAGATAATGGGAGTTGTAGCCTTGCAAGATAATGGGACTTGTAGTTTTGCAAGATCATGAGAGTTGTAGTTTTGCAAGATAATGGGAGTTGTAGCCTTGGAAGACAATGTGAGTTGTAGCCTTGCAAGATAATGAGAGTTGTAGTTTTGCAAGATAATGGGAGTTGTCATCTACAAATCCCAGGACCCTATTCCACCCAGCTATACCAGTTAAAGCGGCATCAAAATGCATTCATTCTGTGTGTAGATGCACTCCAGGGAGGGGCGTTCTCTTTTAGTTCAGAATCAACTCGGAACGTATCTGTGGCGTGTGCATCTTTTCTTATTCATACCTCTGTCAAGCAGAAAAGGAGGGCGGAGCTTGGAAAGGAACAGGGGAACCGGAAGAAGGAAGTGGCATAGGGGGCTTCCACGTGGTTTCTGCTGCTGGGAGAACATCCTGTCTCAGTAGAAAGGCACAGAAGCAGAGCTCAGCAACACTCCGGTAAGGGCGAGATATATGCTGCTGGGGAGGAAGCATTTCCAGAACAGATGGGCTATTGTTGCCCAGGAAAAGCTGCTTTGGGGAACTACATTTCCCAGTATGTGGCTGTGGAGCCCTATTCTTGCTCTGCATCTTCTCCCGCAGTGTGGGTATCAGTTCCCAGGTGGAAGGCAGTCCCAGTTGTGGTTGGCTTGATGCGCCTTCGTCTTGGCACGTTTCTCTCTTTCGCCCTCCATTCGTGCCTCTTCAAATTCTGCAGCACTGCTGGTCACAGCTGACCTCCAGCTGGAGTGCTCAAGGGCCAGGGCTTCCCAGTTCCCAGTGTCTATGCCAGAGTTTTTAAGGTTGGCTTTGAGCCCATCTTTCAATCTCTTTTCCTGTCCACCAACATTCCGTTTTCCGTTCTTGAGTCCGGAGTAGAGCAACTGCTTTGGGAGACGGTTATCAGGCATCCGGACAACGTGGCCGGCCCAGCGGAGTTGATGTTGGAGGACCATCGCTTCAATGCTGGTGGTCTTTGCTTCTTCCAGCACACTGACGTTTGTCCGCTTGTCTTCCCAAGAGATTTGCAGGATTTTCCGGAGGCAACACTAATGGAATCATTCTAGGAGTTGCATGTGACGTCTGTAGACAGTCCACGTTTCACAGGCATAGAGCAGGGTTGGGAGGACAATAGAATCATAGAATCAGAGTTGGAAGAGACCTCATGGGCCATCCAGTCCAACCCCCTGCCAAGAAGCAGGAATATTGCATTCAAATCACCCTTGACAGATGGCCATCCAGCCTCTGTTTAAAAGCTTCCAAAGAAGGAGCCTCCACCACACTCCAGGGCAGAGAGTTCCACTGCTGAACTCTCACAGTCAGGAAGTTCTTCCTCATGTTCAGATGGAATCTCCTCTCTTGTAGTTTGAACCCATTGCTCAGCGTCCCAGTCTCCATGGAAGTAGTAAACAAGCTTGCCCCCTCCTCCCTATGACTTCCTCACACATATTTATACATGGCTATCATATCTCCTCTCAGCCTTCTCTTCTTCAGACTAAACATGCCCAGCTCCTTAAGCCGCTCCTCATAGGGCTTGTTCTCCAGACCCTTGATCATTTTAGTCACCCTCCTCTGGACACATTCCAGCTTGTCAATATCTCTCTTGAATTGTGGTGCCCAGAATTGGACACAATATTCCAGGTGAGGTCTAACCAGAGCAGAATAGAGCATGGGGAGCATTCCTTCCCTATATCTAGACACTATGCTCCTATTGATGCAGGCCAAAATCCCATTGGCTTTTTTTGCTGCCACATCACATTGTTGGCTCATGTTTAACTTGTTGTCCACGAGGACTCCAAGATCTTTTTCACACGTACTGCTCTCGGGCCAGGCATCGTCCCCCATTCTGTATCTTTGCATTTCGTTTTTTCCTGCCAAAGTGGAGTATCTTGCATTTGTCACTGTTGAACTTCATTTTGTTAGTTTTGGCCCATCATCTCTCTAATATATCAATAGTTCTATAAACAAGCACCTTGGTATCCCTACGGATTTCCCTGTCCTCAAACACTCTCTGCTTCATTCGTAAAAATGCTGCACTCACAGAGCTCAGGCGGTGTTGCATTTCAGTGTCAATGTTGAGTTTGGTGGAGAGGTGGCTGCCAAGTTAGCAGAAGTGATCAACATTTTCTAATGTGACACCATTAAGCTGTATCACTGGCATTGGAGAGGGGTTGGCTGGTGTCTGCTGGAAGAGCACCTTGGTTTTTTCAATGTTCAATGACAGGCCGAGCTTCTCGTATGCTTCTGCAAAGGTGTTTAGAGTGGCTTGTAGGTCTTCTTCTGAATGCGCACAGATGACCTTGTCATCAGCATACTGGAGTTCTATGACAAATGTTGTTGTAACCTTGGTTTTGGCTTTCAGTCTGCTGAGGTTGAATAGCTTGCCATCTGTCCGATAGATGATTTCCACTCCGGTGGGAAGCTTCCCGTCAACAAGGTGAAGTATCATAGCGATGAAGATGGAGAATAGAGTTGGGGCAATAACACATCCTTGTCTGACGACTGATTCCACCTTAAATGGGTCACTTTGGGAGCCACTGCTGTCCAAAACTGTTGTCATCATGGAAGAGCCGCACCCGATTGTTAGGGCACCCGATTTTATTTCCCAGAAGGCCAGATGGCCCTACTGGGTGGGGCATTTATACAGGTAGTAGACGGTTAGGAATTGTGGGAGTTGAAGTCCAAAACACCTGGAGGGCCAAAGTTTGCCCATGCCTGGTATAGGCCATTTATTATTGTTGTGTGCCTTCAGCTTGTTCTCCATTTAAAGTGACTCCATGGTGAACCTATAAAGGAATTGTTTTGCAGTATTTTAATTTTTATTTATTTTAATCATTTATATTATTAATTTATTTATTTATATTATTTATTATTACATATTTATCGCCTACCATTTACATTACATTTCTTTGTTATATCTGTTATTTACTATTATTTTTATTTGTATATTTATTATATATATTTATTGTATTTCACAGCATGAACTGTGGGAATTGAAGTCCAAAACACCTGAAGGCCAAGGTTTGCCCATGCCTGGTACAGATCATTTATTATTGATGTGTACCCTCAGGTTGTTCTCCACTTAAAGTGACTCCCTAGAGAACCTATAAAGGAATTGTTTTGGCAATAATATTTTAATTTTAATTTTAAGTTTTTGTTTATTTAAATCATTTATTTTATTATTTTATTTATTTATATTATTTTTGTCATCTACCACTTACACTATATTTATTTGTTATATTTGTTATTTACTATTATTTGTGTGTGTGTGTGTGTGTATATATATGTATATGTGTGTGTGTGTGTATGTATGTATGTATGTATGTATATGTGTATATATATATATATATGTATGTATGTATGTATGTATGTATGTATGTATTGTAAAGGTCACAGACCAGAAATAAAAATGAATGTAGTATAGTTAATATAAATTGTGTGTGTGTGTGTATTATATTATATTAACTATACTACATTCATTTTTATTTCTGGTCTGTGACCTTTACAATAAAATTAATTAATTCATTAATTATTTTATTAATATTTATGTCATATATGTGTGTGTATATAATAAAATAAATATAATTGTAAGGCGCTCTGAGTCCACCTTCTTACCCCTGAAGGTGGACTCAGAGTGCTTTACAATTGTATTTATTTTATTCATTTACAGACACACTTTGCTCTCTCTCTATATATGTATGTTTCTCTTGCCCCCCCCCCCAGTGGTGCAGCAGATTAAACTTCTGAGCTGCTGAACTTGCTGGCTGAAACGTTGACGGTTTGAATCCAGGGAGTGGGGTGAGCCCCTGCAGTTTGCCCCAGCTTCTGTCAACCTAGCAGTTCGTAAACATTAAAGTATGAGTAGATGAATAGGTACTGCTTCTGCGGTAAGGTAACGGCACTCCATGTAGTCATAATGGCCACATTACCTAGGAGGTGTCTACGGACAACGGAGATGAGCTCCACCCCCCAGAGTCAGACATGACTAGACTTAATGTCAGGGGAAAGCTTCGCTTTATGTTTCTCTTCGGTGGTTTGCATCTGGTGGTTAATTTCTGTAAGTGTTGTTTTGTGTCAATTGGTGTTGTTATTGCTATTGTTATCTATATATATGAAAATGCTCTGTGTGTAATGAGTACCTTAAAAACAAATGAACCAATAAATGAAATCACACCAAATTTGGCAACAAAACGTCTCACAACACAAGGAGTGACCATCACTCAAAAAAATTATGATTTTGTCATTTGGGAGTTGTAGTTGCTGAGATTTATAGTTCCCCTACAATCAAGGAGCATTCTGAACTCCACCAACGATGGAATTGAACCAAACTTGCCACACAGGACTCCCTTGACCAACAGAAAATACTGGAAGGTTTTGGTGTGCATTGAGCTTGAGTTTTGGAGTTGTAGTTCACCTACATCTAGAGAGCACTGTGGACTCAAACAATGATGGATCTGGACCAAACTTGGCACAAATACTCAATATGCTCAAATATAAACACAGATGGAGTTTGGGAGAAATAGACCTTGACATTTGAGAGTTGTAGTTACTGTGATTTATAGTTCCCCTACAATCAAGGAGCATTCTGAACCCCACCAATGACAGAATTGGGGCAAACATCCCACACAGAACCCTCATGTCCAACAGAAAATATTGTGTTTTTTGGTGGTCTTTGATTATCCTTTTGACACCCCCCTGGTGACCCCTCCCCCCGGGTTCTTGACTTCCCAGGTTGAGAAATGCTGCCTTAAGGTCATCTAGTCCAACTCCCTTCACCAGGGCAAGAAAACATAATCAAAGCCCTCCTGACAAAGGGCCATCCAGCCATTCACACACACACACAAATATATATGACAGATGCAGTATCAAAGATTTGAAAGGGACCCCTAAAGAAGGACAATGATATGTTGCATATTCCAGAGTAGGCAAACCAGACACTCTCCACATCAACACTGACAAAGAAACAACAAGAAATACTGTTTACCCTCAAGCATAAAGACATTACATATATTAGAAAACAAAACACTTTCTCATTACTTTATTTTCCAGATCACCAGACTGGGCCACAGCAACGTGTGGCAGGGGACCGCTAGTTGTTTATAAATGACATTTCTATTGTTTATAAATGCTGATGTACTTTATGTGTTTTGTGTGGCACCATCATGTGCCGCTCTGTAAGCTGCCTTGAGTCCTTTTTGGGAGATGGTGACGGGATATAAATAAAGTTGTTGTTGTTGTTGTTATAGGAGGAAAAAATGGTGCGCAAGCTGAAGTTCCATGAGCAGAAGCTCCTCAAGAAGCTCGACTTTGTCAACTGGGAGGCCTCTACAGGGAACCTCCATGAGCTGCGCATACTCCGCCGTTTCCGCCTGCAAAAGAGGGAAGACTACACCCGCTACAACCAGCTCAGCCGGGCAATCCGAGAACTGGCTCGCCGCATCCGGGACCTCGGCGACGCGCCTGAGTCAGCGACTTTCCGGGCTCAGAGCACAGCAGCCCTCCTGGAGAAGCTCTATGCCATGGGGCTGGTGTCGTCCAAGCGCTCCCTGGAACAGTGCGACCGGGTCTCGGCCAGCTCCTTCTGCCGCCGGCGCTTGCCCTGCCTGCTCCTGAAGCTCCGCATGGCCCAGAACATGAAGTCGGCAGTCACCTTCGTGGAGCAGGGCCACGTCCGGGTTGGGCCAGAGGTCATGACGGACCCAGCCTTTTTGGTGACCCGAGCCATGGAGGACTTCATCACCTGGACGGACTCCTCTCGCATCCGCCAACATGTCCTGAACTACAACCAGGAACGGGACGATTTTGACTTGGCTTGTTAAGACTACCGTTTCCTCATCCCTTTTGTTAACCCCAACCTCTTATATAATCCTCTATGGCTGTATCTACACTGCCATGTGACCCAGTTTTTTAAATCCAGACTCTGCTTTGAACTGGATTGTATGAGGCCCCTTCTACACTGCCATATAATCCAGATGATCAAAATAGAAAATATGGATTTTATATAGCAGTGTGGAAGGGGCCCCAGGTTATCAAAGCAGATAATCCACATTATCTGCTTTGAATTTGATATTGTTATTATTATTATACTGCATTTATACCCCACCCTTCTCACCCCAATGGGAGATTCAGGGCGGCTTATAGACCATGGCATACAATGCTGCATTATCCATATAATAATAATAAACATGACATATCAATTTACACAATTAGCATATCAATTTAAACATACAGTAATAAACATGACATGTCAATTGAACAATTCGAATATAAATACAATAAAAAGCTTAAAAAGTAAACATTCAGTCCCAACCGAAGTGGGCTGATGAGATATCAATTAAACAATTCAAATATAAATACAATAAAACAGCTTATAAGTGTTATGAGTCTACACAGCCATACAACAATAATAAACTTTATTTGTATCCCACCCTATCTCCTTAATGGAAACTCGGGACAGCTAACAGCACATAACGGCCATATTCAATGTCGTATAATGCAACAATAATGCAAGACATAGCATAAATTTTATGACACAACCAACCTTAACATAAGCAATCACAAGAAATTACCACTGAATTAAACAAATACTAAAATGACAATTTAACCCTACTAATATAACAAGACTAAAAAGTTTTAGAATCAGTAAAAAAAATTAAATACATTTAAAATAAACCCAAAGTAGCAGCCATTTCCATGTAATCCAGTTCAAAGCGGATAATCTGGATTTTGTATGGCAGTGTATAAAGTTCAAAGCAGGTAATTTGGATTCAGAAACTGGATGTTGGTGGGGCCTATATACACCTTTATTATCCTACTTTTTCAGCTCTTTTAAAAAATGGCCCAATTTCTGTGCTTTTCCTATGCCTCCCTTGTTCTCTGTTTATTTAGGGTACACCCACACAGTAGATTTAGTGCAGATTGATACTACTTTAATTGCTACAGCTCTGTGCTAAGGAAATGTGGGAGTTGTAATTTTAATGGGGCACCAGCACTCTTTGGAAGAAACTTTGTGGAACAATAAAGATTTCCTGGGATTCCATAGCTTTGGGCCACAGCATTTAAAGTGCAATCATTCTACCGTGTTGATACACCCTTAGTAATTTTGCTGGAAAATGTCTGAAAGAGGACTTAACTGTCTCCACCAGGCATTTTTGTTTATTTATTTACAGTATTTATATTCCACCCTTCTCACCCCGCAGGGGACTCAGGGCGGATTACAATGTACACATATATGGCAAACATTCAATGCCAAAGACACATAACAAATATAGAGACAGTCAGAGGCTATTTAACTTTTTCTGGCCGCCATGGGAGCTGTCGCTTTCATCGTCCATCTGCGACACTGATGAAGTACTTCTGCATTCCCCGCATGCTTTTGCTGGAGTCTTTTTATGGCCTCATAAATTAGTTAAATCAGCCTCCCCACACATAGGTGGTACCTAATTTTCAAGAGAAGGTGGCGAGACTATACAGAAGATCTGTATAGGAAGGATAATAATATCAAGGATAGTTTTGACGGTGTGGTGAATGAATTAGAACCAGACATCCTGAGGAGTGATGTTGAATGGGCCTTAAGAAGCATTGCTAACAACAAGGCAGCAGGAGACGACGGGATCCCAGCTGAACTGTTTAAAATCTTAAAAGATGATGCTGTCAAGGTGATGCATGCCATATGCCAGCAAATATGGAAAACACAAGAATGGCCATCAGACTGGAAAAAATCAACTTATATCCCCATACCAAAAAGGGAAATGCGAAAGACTGCTCCAACTTCCGTACAGTGGCCCTTATTTCTCATGCCAGTAAGGTAATGCTCAAGATCCTGCAAGGAAGACTCCAGCAATACATGGAGCGAGAGTTGCCAGATGTTCAAGCTGGGTTTAGAAAAGGCAGAGGAATGAGAGACCAGATTGCCAATATCCGCTGGATAATGGAGAAAGGCAGGGAGTTTCAGAAAAACATCTACTTCTGCTTCATTGACTATTCTAAAGCCTTTGACTGTGTGGATCATAATAAATTGTGGCAAGTTCTTGGTGGGATGGGCATCCCAAGCCCCCTTGTCTCTCTCCTGAGGAATCTGTACAAGGACTAAGTAGCAACAGTAAGAACTGACCACGGAACAACAGACTGGTTCAAGATTGGGAAAGGCGTACGGCAAGGCTGCATCCTCTCACCCAACCTTTTTAACTTGTATGCAGAACACATCATGCGATGTGCGGGGCTGGATGAATGCACAGCTGGGGTGAAAATTGCTGGAAGAAACATTAACAACCTCAGATATGCAGATGACACCACCCTGATGGCCGAAAGCGAGGAGGAGCTGAGGAGCCTTCTAATCAAGGTGAAAGAAGAAAGCGCAAAAGCCGGGTTGCAGCTAAACGTCAAAAAAACCAAGATTATGGCAACAAGAATGATTGACAACTGGAAAATAGGAGAAACCGTGGAGGCCGTGACAGACTTTGTATTTCTAGGTGCAAAGATGACTGCAGATGCAGACTGTGGCCAGGAAATCAGGAGACGCTTCCTTCTTGGGAGGAGAGCAATGTCCAGTCTCGATAAAATAGTGAAGAGTAGAGACATCAGACTGGCAACAAAGATCCATTGCCTAGTCAAAGCCATGGTATTCCTGTAGTCACCTACGGATGTGAGAGCTGGACCTTAGGGAAGGCTGAGCAAAGGAAGATGATGCTTTTGAGCTGTGGTGTTGGAGGAAAGTTCTGAGAGTGCCTTGGACTGCGAGAAGATCCAACCAGTCCATCCTCCAGGAAATAAAGCCCGACTGCTCACTGGAGGGAAAGATACTAGAGACAAAGTTGAAGTACTTTGGCCACATCATGAGGAGACAGGAAAGCCTAGGGAAGACAATTATGCTGGGGAAAGTGGAAGGCAAAAGGAAGAGGGGCCGACCAAGGGCAAGATGGATGGATGGCATCCTTGAAGTGACTGGACTGACCTTGAAGGAGCTGGGGGTGGTGACGGCCGACAGGGAGCTCTGGCGTGGGCTGGTCCATGAGGTCACGAAGAGTCGGAGACGACTGAACGAATGAACAACAACAACAATTTTCCTACTTGACAGGTGCAACTGTCTTTCGGGTTGCAAAGGTCGACAGCAAGCTACACAGTTGGTCGGAAGCTCACTCTGGCCCTCCAGGTGTTTTAAACTTCTACAATTCCTAACAGCCTCTGCATGTTAGAAATTGTGGAAGTCCAAGACACCTGAAGGGCCAGAGTTTGTCCATGCTTGCTCTACACTGTTGGATTAATACAGTTTGACACTACTTGAACTGCCATAGCTCAATGCTAGTATGGAATCTTGGGAGTTGTAGCACTCTTTAGCAGAGATGGTAACAGACTCTGTAAAAAACTATAACTCTCATGATTCTATAGCATGTAATTATGGCTGTTAAAGTGGTGACAAACTGTGTCAATTTGATTTTTTTTTATTTATCGTGTCAGGAGCGAACCAAAAGAGTTGTATTGCATTTAAAAAACAGACAAACAAAACACAAAGTTTGCAGACTTGGTATTCTATTAAATGTCCTTTGACCAGTATCTGGCCACTTGGAGTGCCTATGGTGTTGCCGCAAGAAGGCCCTCCATTGTGCATGTGTCAGGGTTCAGGTTGCATTGCAGCAGGTGGTCTGTAGTTTGCATGTCATGGATTCCACTTTGTGGCCCCATTTCTTAAGGTTGGCTCTGCATCTCGTGGTGCCAGAGCGCAGTCTGTTCAGCACCTTCCAAGTCGCCCAGTCCTCTGTGTGCCCAGGAGGGAGTCTCTCATTTGGTATCAGCCATTGATTGAGGTTCTGGGTTTGAGCCTGCCACTTTTGGACTCTCGCTTGCTGAGGTGTTCCAGCGAGTGTCTCTGTAGAGAACTATTTCTTGATTTAAGTCGTTGGCGTGCTGGCTGATACCCAAACGGGTGGGCTGGAGATGTCCATGCCTTGGCCCTTTCACTATTGGTTGCTACTCCCTGGCGGATGTCAGGTGGTACAATACCGGCTAAGTAGTGTAATTTCTCCAGTGGTGTAGGGCACAGACACCCCGTGATAATGCGGCATGTCTCATTAAGAGCCACATCCACTGTTTTAGCGTGGTGAGATGTGTTCCACACTGGGCATGCATACTCAGCAACAGAGTAGCATAGTGCAAGGGTAGATGTCTTCACTGTACCTGGTTGTGATCCCCAGGTTGTGCCAGTCAGCTTTCGTATGATATTATTCCTAGCGCCCACTTTTTGCTTGATAGTCAAGCAGTGCTTCTTGTAGGTCTCTCATGTCCCCCTGTTAATTTGATGGCGTAGATGCACCCAGTGTTGTGTCACCCAAAGGCTCTTCCAAGACTTGGTGGCTCCTAACTAATTACTGGAAATCTTCTATCCCAGGATTCCAAATGGCTGTACTGCAACAATTCTTCCTTCTGTATGAAAAGTGAAATACAAAGTTGGAAAAAAGTGTGTATTTTGAAAATTCAGCAGTTGTGTTCAGAGTATCCACCAGAGGGAGGTGGTGGACAAAAAGATATCTAGGTAAACTCCGGTGAGAAAGCATATTAGCAAAATGGAGACAATAAGATCCCCATAACTGGGGGAACCTTATCCACAGTTTCGCTTGCCTACGCCCAAGGAAAAATGGGAATTCTTTAGGTTGAATGGAATGCTTCTTTTTGAAGTTGTCGCAGATTTGCATTGTAGGACCTAGCAAATTCCTAGAATCATTATCTCTCAAAGGATGCATCTACACTATAGAATAAATGCAGTTCACTATCATCTTAACTGTCATTGCCTAATGATGTGGAATCATGGGGGTTGTAGTTTGATGAGGCACCCATTCTCTTTGACAGAGACTAAAGGCCTTCCTAAAACTACAACTCCCAGGATTGACATTGTGCTATGTCAAACTACATTTATTATACTGTGGAGATTTATTTATTTATTTCGTGCATTTCTACCCCGCCCTTCTCAACCCCCGAGGGGGGGACTCAGGGCGGCTTACAAAAGGCAC